TCGGTATACAAACTGATGTCTGTGAGAGTTTTTCCATCGGTATACAGACTGATGGCTGTGAGAGTTTTTCCATCGGTATACAGACTGATGGCTGTGAGAGTTTTCCCCATCGGTATACAAACTGATGGCTGTGAGAGTTTTTCCATCGTATACAAACTAAGGGTTGTGAGAGTTTTTCCATCGTATACAGACTGATGGCTGTGAGAGTTTTCCCATCGTATACAAACTAAGGGTTGTGAGAGTTTTTCCATCGGTATACAGACTGATCGCTGTGAGAGTTTTTCCCTCGTTGTACAAACTGATCGCTGTGAGAGTTTTTCCATTGGTATACAGACTGGTCGCTGTGAGAGTTTTTCCATCGTATACAAACTGATGTCTGTGAGAGTTTTTCCATCGGTATACAGACTGATGGCTGTGAGAGTTTTTCCATCGGTATACAGACTGATCGCTGTGAGAGTTTTTCCATCGGTATACAGACTGATGGCTGTGAGAGTTTTTCCATCGTATACAAACTGATCGCTGTGAGAGTTTTTCCATTGGTATACAGACTGATCGCTGTGAGAGTTTTTCCATTGGTATACAGACTGGTCGCTGTGAGAGTTTTTCCATTGGTATACAGACTGGTCGCTGTGAGAGTTTTTCCATCGTATACAAACTGATGTCTGTGAGAGTTTTTCCATCGGTATACAGACTGATGGCTGTGAGAGTTTTTCCATCGGTATACAAACTAGGGGTTGTGAGAGTTTTCCCCATCGGTATACAGACTGATGGCTGTGAGAGTTTTTCCATCGGTATACAAACTAAGGGTTGTGAGAGTTTTCCCCATCGGTATACAAACTGATGTCTGGGAGAGTTTTTCCATCGGTATACAAACTGACTGCTGTGAGAGTTTTCCCATCGTATACAAACTGATGTCTGTGAGAGTTTTTCCATCGGTATACAGACTGATGGCTGTGAGAGTTTTTCCATCGGTATACAAACTGATGTCTGTGAGAGTTTTCCCTACGTTGTACACACTGATCGTTGTGAGAGTTTTTCCATTGGTATACAGACTGGTCGCTGTGAGAGTTTTTCCATCGGTATACAAACTGATGTCTGTGAGAGTTTTTCCCTCGTTGTACAAACTGATCGCTGTGAGAGTTTTTCCATTGGTATACAGACTGGTCGCTGTGAGAGTTTTTCCATCGTATACAAACTGATGTCTGTGAGAGTTTTTCCATCGGTATACAGACTGATGGCTGTGAGAGTTTTTCCATCGGTATACAGACTGATCGCTGTGAGAGTTTTTCCATCGGTATACAGACTGATGGCTGTGAGAGTTTTTCCATCGTATACAAACTGATCGCTGTGAGAGTTTTTCCATTGGTATACAGACTGATCGCTGTGAGAGTTTTTCCATTGGTATACAGACTGGTCGCTGTGAGAGTTTTTCCATTGGTATACAGACTGGTCGCTGTGAGAGTTTTTCCATCGTATACAAACTGATGTCTGTGAGAGTTTTTCCATCGGTATACAGACTGATGGCTGTGAGAGTTTTTCCATCGGTATACAAACTAGGGGTTGTGAGAGTTTTCCCCATCGGTATACAGACTGATGGCTGTGAGAGTTTTTCCATCGGTATACAAACTAAGGGTTGTGAGAGTTTTCCCCATCGGTATACAAACTGATGTCTGGGAGAGTTTTTCCATCGGTATACAAACTGACTGCTGTGAGAGTTTTCCCATCGTATACAAACTGATGTCTGTGAGAGTTTTTCCATCGGTATACAGACTGATGGCTGTGAGAGTTTTTCCATCGGTATACAAACTGATGTCTGTGAGAGTTTTCCCTACGTTGTACACACTGATCGTTGTGAGAGTTTTCCCGTCGTATACAGACTGATCGCTGTGACTGCCCGACGATGATTTCTATCAGTAAAAACCAAATGACGACTGTGAGAGTTCCCCTTCGATATACAAACTGATGGCTGTGAGAGTTTTCCCCATCGGTATACAAACTGATGTCTGTGAAAGTTTTTCCATCGGTATACAGACTGATGGCTGTGAGAGTTTTCCCCATCGGTATACAAACTGATGTCTGTGAGAGTTTTTCCATCGGTATACAAACTGATGTCTGTGAGAGTTTTTCCATCGGTATACAAACTGATGTCTGTGATAGTTTTTCCATCGGTATACAGACTGATCGTTGTGAGAGTTTTTCCATCGTATACAGACTGATCGCTGTGAGAGTTTTCCCCATCGGTATACAAACTGACTGAGATATTAGTTTTCTCCATCGATATACCAATGGGAGAAGATGTTTTTTCCATAGGTATGTATCAGTTGACAAATGCGTGAGTTTTCCTATCAGTATAAACATGTTCTAGTAACAGTAATCAGCCATTTTTTTATCGATATGAATCTATAAATGAATGTTCACATATTACCCTTAGTGGTCGTGATGTAGAAATGATGGAAAATTATAACTCATCCTTTAACAACCCCATCCAACCGTGTAGTATAACTAATGACGTGATAGCTATGGGAAGTCGCGTTCTCCCATACAATCAAATCATCCAGTGTTATTGCTTTCATAACAGCAAGAAATAATGGCAATTCCACGTTGTATCTGTATGCTATTTCAAATTAAAGAGGTGTAAGGCCTAGTTTACTGTGAAAGGCGAGATGTAACCAAAAGCGTGACTGAAAGTTGTCCCATTGACGTCATCATTATTGATACAAACATGTACTTAGATTTCACATTATATACACATAATTATTAGAGAATATTTTAGTCTTTTCAAAATGCATATTAGAAGACATATAACCACACTGTGACTGATTTACGTTTTGATAACACAATGATGAATATGTAATGCTAAATTAACCTGGCTTGTAGCGGACCAATCTTAGTCTGTTGCATGGTATGGCGTTCGCCAGGCATCTGTCGTTCGTCCGGCGTTGACATTTTAATTCAAACTATTTATCTCAATAACAAACTAGTGAAGTGTCACCATATTCAACGTCACTAGGATAAAATTTGTCAAAGCACATAAACGCCTTCTTTTCATAAGCCATTAGATTGATGATGATTTTGTTTGCTTGGAAGGTTCCTAAGATAACGCGTGACAATGTTAAGAAGACCAAGTGATATTGACTCATATTCGAGGTCACTGGATCAATCTTGTTAAAATTTCAAACAACTGTCCTTTTGATTAATAAAAAAGTTTTGTAAATGATTTCTCCTGGTGAAACCAAAGGCCTATAATCATACAAATCAATACCAGGTGAGTTATGTACACCCATTAGACCTCTTGTTTAACGTAATATTTGTGTGGTGTGCGTCAAACCATAGCCTGAAGGTGTATGTTTAACGTAATATTTGTGTGGTGTGCGTCAAACCATAGCCTGAAGGTGTATATTTAACGTAATTGCACCATATTCCCCACCGAACCTGAACTAACAAGCGTTACTCTTTCAAACATATATCTATACTGTGTTGCAATGATGCTTTTGAAATTCAACTCAGCGCCCACTCAACAAAATTGATGTAAAATACTCCACAAAACAGATATATCGATAACAAACAAACATACTACACTTAAGCTATATAGAAGTAAAATACACTTAGCAAGTTATAAATTATTATTATTATTATTATTATTATTATTATATTATATTGCAGTTATAAATGGATTAATTAAGGTTCAATGAAACAAATTGAGTTTTAGAACAACTATTCAGCAACAAAGACAATGACAACAGAGCCAAATGTAATGATAACACTCACACTCAGACATAACAACACACTGAGACATAACTATGACACAATGAGACATAACAACATCACATTCACATATAACAACATCACACTCAGACATACCAATACTTCACTCAGATGTAACAACACCATACTCACATATAACAACACCACACTTACATATAACAACATCACACTCAGACATAACAACACCACACTCACATATAACAACACCACACTTACATATAACAACATCACACTCAGACATAACAACACCACACTCACATATAACAACACCACACTTACATATAACAACATCACACTCAGACATAACAACATCACACTCAGACATAACAACACCATACTCACATATAACAACACCACACTTACATATAACAACATCACACTCAGACATAACAACACCACACTCACATATAACAACACCACACTCACATATAACAACACCACACTCACATATAACAACATCACACTATGAGACATAACATTATGAGACATTATGAGACATAACAACATCACACTCACATATAACAACATCACACTCAGACATACCAATACCACACTCAGATATAACAACACCATACTCACATATAACAACACCACACTCACATATAACAACATCACACTCAGACATAACAACACCACACTCACATATAACAACACCACACTCACATATAACAACACCACACTCACATATAACAACATCACACTCAGATATAACAGCACCACACTCATATATAGCAACACCACACTCTCATATAACAACACCACACTCAGATGTAACAACATACAATCACATATAACAACACCACACTCAGATGTAACAACCCCACACTAATCCTTAAATGAATAATCATGGTTCATATTTACAGATTCTGATATGGTTGTGTAAATGTTTGAGACTAACGTTAATGCTTCCAGTATGTAATGGTCTTTTATGTTTATATTTTCGTTTGTAATGTATCGAAGCGAGTTGCTTGTCAATTTAATTCTAACTGTACACGGTGCCTACAAGTAAAACAGAATATTCTTGTACAAAAAGAACTTTACTGGAATTTTTAAAATCGATCGCGGTGATAGGTGCCTGATAAATGGGTTTGCTGTGGGTGCATTTTGAGTGTATATCTGAAACAATTCTATCTAATTAGATATATTTCTGTCCAGCCACCATTTTCTCTATCCCTGGTTTGTTTGGATTCAATCATACATAGCTCTTAAATGCTGTTTGGATTTCAATATTCTAGATGAAAAAGAAACACAAGAAAGACAAAAAGGAAAAACATAGCGATAAGAAGACCAAGAAAAAGGACAAAAAGAACAAAGAAAATGGATATTCGAAAGACGATTTGTATCTGTTTGAGCTGAGCGATGTTCACAGTGCATCTACTCCAAATATCAAACACCTAACGGAAGAGAGTGTTCCTCTTCGTCCATCCCACCGCTCGAAAAGCCTCGACGAGCTGCGGGAAGAGGCACAAGAAATCACAGATATAATGATGGAAAACGTTGTTAAAATCAGAGACAGGGAAGGGAAACTCGACGATCTGTGTGAGAAAGCGGAAAGCCTTAACGCCTCGGTAATAACTATCGACATTGTATAGTAAAATTTTTTCATAATTTTACAAAATTTATTCTTCGGGAAGGTTAATAGATTTATTATGCATTTGTTACTAATACAGCGATATTATTTATGAATAGAGCTTGTAGGATAATGGACTTATTCTATTAAATAGTAACCTTGGATTCACAGGAACGTGTTACTTTATAGCACTCGTGTATAGCATCTCCTGAATAAGTAGATCATATCAAGTAAAAGGTTTTCATTGGAAAGTAGTAATGAATGGGGAAAGGTAGGGATAGGCACGTGATCTTAAAATGATTCTCAACGTTAACAAGTACATAGAACATTACCAGACCAAGAATTAGCCTGAAGCGAAAATGTCAAACGTCCTTCTAGACGCTGTTAAACCAAGTACTGACAACCACATATCAATTAAGATCTTGCATACCTCGAAATCGACAGTATGATTAATGAATTCAACTTATTACTTAATCCTTGTTCTCATTTGAGAATGTCACATTACTAACTTGGGTTGAACAATATTTAACTGACAGATGTCGTCGATGAAGCAAAAGACTCTTACACTTCCGGGACACCTGAACTTATTTTTATTGTACTTTTTCAGAAGTCTCTGTAAAAATATGTCTGTTGTTCATATTTTGCCCAAGTTTAAATTACTTTGAGTTAGGATTATGATTATGTCCATTTGATGTTTTTTCTTATTGTTTTAGAAAATAAATAATTCAACAAAATTGCTAATGAACTTCGCGATATGGCTAAGGTGGAATAAAGGCTAATACGATCCTAACACCTAAATAAATAATAAGCTAGCATCAATTTACCATAATATCAGACATGTACCCTGCATATGTCCATTTCCATTTGAAATTGTTTAAATTAATCAACCTTTAGAACAAAATCTTTTAGATAGTTAAGGATGCATGGCAATAACCACGGAAAGATTTTAACAATGTTTTTAGAAATACTATACCACATGTCATAAAGTTAGTGACGTATATATAACTAAGAGATATGCTTGAGTGTTCTGTCTTTACTCCAACCTAGAAAACGACACGCGTGAACGTGTACAAAATTTCTGTGGGAAATATGTCAAATCAGCGTTCCGTTCAAATAAGTGAACGTGATATCATTAATGGACCAGAACTGTGTCAGTATAACGTAGACATTGGCTGTGTATTATAGATAGGCAAATTTACTTTCGTTTGTTACATTTCAGACTGAGATGTTCCAGAGGACCTCCGTGTTGATACGAAGAAAACAATGGTGGAAAAATAAGAAAATGACATTATTGTTAATTGTTGTAGGAGCCTGTTTTTTAGTTCTGTTCACTGTGATTATAACACTAAGTGCTTCAGGAAGTATTTAAGTCACTAAATGTACCGGTACACCACATTTACATTTCCCATATGTTTGTTACCAAGGAAAACACATATTCATCAATGTCAAAATTAAGTAGACTGTGTAGCAAAAAATAAATTTCATGACGTATGATCATTTTCTCCAATTTTTCGAAACGTAACCGCCTACACAGAAGAAATATTTATTACGATAATATGGCGCTTGTATTCTGTGTATGTCATGAAAGTATTACTTTTCGAAAGAAAGTTGACAATTGACCTCTTCCAAGTAGTGGTAGATGGTGACTGGAATATGTTTAGTAATCGTTACGATTTACCTAGTCCTTATTTTACTCTGACCATGTTAATAGGTTTTTTTAAGGATAAGGAAACTTTATTAAATTGTCTTGTCATTTAAATGATTTGAAACCTTATTTACTGATGAACATTTGGAGATAACTATTGATACTTAACATAAAGGGATATTCAGCATAGGTTAAGGCTTCGAATGATGTTTTATGTGGACATACATAATACACACACAAACATATCTACTAATGTTCTAGTACACCTTAATTCAACACTTAACAAACTTAAAATATCTAATTGACAGAAATACTATATACTAGCTAGATTAATTTACAAACATTAGCTTGACCATGATTTAACCACAGCAGATTTACTTTTCATTAAGCCGAACGGTGTAAAATATTCGTGCATGTTTGATACTCTACAAGAAATTATTCACACAAAGCAATTGAATTCCGATACTGGGTCAGCAGGCATTACATGTGAATAGCGTACAGACCAGTGTATTTACCCAATACTGACTATAAATTGCATAAACCAGTCAGTGACTGAGTTTCTGATTCCCCAATGTGCTAAATTAAACAGTGTAACTTTACATTAACAAGTAGTATTCCAACAATTTCACCTTTCAAAACTGACCTTAGTAAAGCTATTTCTAATGCTGACATGTAATTAGAAAGAGTTTTAAAAAGGCACAAAACAGCTAGAAATTGGCCAACCTGTGCAGAATATCCCGTTTTTTTGTTTTTTGTTGATTTGACGGCGAATAACTCTAAAGTCTTATTGATTTATTGGCAGTAGCTTTCTGTTGTACTGATTAGCTGTATAATCTTATTGTGCTTATTGGTCGTGAAGATGTAATATAATTTTGTTCTGCCTATCTTGTCATGTTGATCGGCCGTTATTGGCCATGATGAAGTTAGTTCACTTTTTTGTGTTCATTTGTTGTGAAGGAGTAACTCTAATTAGCGTTGATTGATATATAACAATAGAGATATGAATCGAAATTCTATAGGAAAACTATATCCAGCTGCTGGTGTTTCAGCTAAATATGATACCAACACTTAACTTAAATAATTCCGTAAATGTCTTTTGTGCATATTGTTAGTCTTATTGTGCACATACGGATGGTTAGTGTTTAACGTTACATATTGTATAGAAACAATCGTATGGTTATGAATGTTTATGGATCTGGAACCAAACAAATTGCCATTATTGCTAAGTTCTTTTTAACTTTCAACCGACAGTAGAATTTCTCGTCAAAAAACATTTTACAGTGATGATATTTAAAGATATACGATTACTATTAGAATAGAAGTTCTTATAGCACAATCAGAAGAGTGGGACGTATCGATGACTAAACGGTCACCTTCATCAGACAAATGACCAGAGTGGAGTGTACTAGCACCGATGTACGTAATGTATGAGTTGGTACGGAATCGACCAACTTTTTCGGCTGTACTATAATCGTATGTGCACTAAAGTGTAGCCGAATTGACTACAGCACATTGTTATCATCTGGTGTATTGTTTCCTGTTTACCATCTCGTCACACTATTTTCGACCTCAGTGTACATATGATTATAGTACACCGAAAAAGTTGGTCGAGTCGTGCCGTCTCGTACACTATGTTCGTCAGTGCTAGTGCACTGGGCATTTGTCGTGTCGTAATCGATACGTCCCTCTCGTTGTGTAACAAGGACTTCCATTCTATTGACATTACCAACAAGAAGATTTTCCAAAACGTATTCTTATGACAATATTTGAAATTTGTTTCCAATCATGATTTTATGTTTATGTTATTATATATGAAATGAAACACCAATTAAACAAAATGGTCTGTAGTAGTAAGATTTTAGTCAACGTTTAAACAATTTTGATATGTTTTGTACGGTTGTTGTCTCTTTATCTTATAGTGACTAATTGCTTACCTTTTATATATCACAAAACAATGCACTACATCAAAATGAAATAAATATTTTATACACTGTATGGTTGATAAGTTTTTATGTTGACCTAACCTGACATGTTTTATTGATCTGCTTCTACAATTAGAATTTTAACAGGAAATTCCGATGACACAATGCTATCCGAATCTTGATTTTAGGTGAAAAGCTCTGCTAGTGCATTTTTAGTTTTTAGGTTTGCCGTAACCTGTTGGCTACATGTTAATTCATCTAAATGACGGAACGCTTCTGAATATACACATGTACATGGTATTGTTCTGAAATTATCATATATACATATACACCTTCACCAAAATACTAACGGAACAGCATATTCCTTGTTGAATGAGCGAATTAGTAGACATTGTATCAGAAACGGAAATACCGATCGGCTTTAATTTCCTTATTGAAATGATATTCCCTGTTTTGATTTAATCTGATGTATGCAATGATGTCAGCACATTGCTATTTATCACATCTATTTACTCAATTGTCATCAAAGAGGAATTTAACGGGAAACCATTTTATCATCTAAGATGTTCCTCAAAGGTAACGGATATGGTTTTCTCTTTCTACAAAAGATGTCGTACTATTCAGGCTGGTATTAGTCAGTGGACACTCTTCTCAAACAATAACGACCCGGTACACGCGGAAGAGTTTTCTTGGGCAAGACGCTTCTTTTGTAGTACACGTATGAACTTCGAGACGAATTTTACGTGGCAACCTTTCGTTCCTGAAGTCAGTGATGCCGCAATGCAGGGATGAAATGATTTGCACTTTTACAATTTTAATATGAAGATTTAATCATAGGAATATACAAATATCAAATAATTTGTAAACACAACCACTGTTTTGATATCTGCATTCTACTCGTCTATTGAAAATATCTTTATACGGTCTTACAGTTTTTGCTTTTGGCGCTTCTCCACACGTACTTTCAACACAAAATAACAAAACAGTGATACGTTGTTCAGTATATCTCAGGCAGATGTTATTGTAGAATATTCATCATCTTTGTGTATTATTAAACCTCATTCATTATGTAGCGTTATTGTCCAGTTATGGTATCTGAAACGAACCAACATCTAAATTGGTTATGATGGATCAGACAAACAGCAAGCAAAACAGTGTGTGTCAAATGATAAACTGTACTGCATCAATTTTGTTTTTATTTTTTTTTGTTTCACCGACTAATCTTAAAATAGCATTCAAAGAAGATCTTAAATAAGTTTTCATTTCATAGGAGATTTAAGGAGACAAGTCTCAAGATATTTTTGCGAGTCTTTAATATTTGTATCCCATAATGATAAATGAATACATTTTGACAAATTTTAAAATTTACACGTGGACTACAATATGATGCGGAGACAGACACTTTGTTGCGCTATTTTGAATTCTTGACGCACAGTCTATGTTCAATTGTGAAATCAAAATCGATTTTTGACTTGCGCAACCAATGATTTGATACAAAAGTGACAGAATGCAAAAATATTACATGACCGAATTGACAGGATAACAGGAGGATTTTGTGAAAATACGTCCTATCGTTGAAGATAATACGAGTAGTTTCCCTTTGCTCTAAACTTTGCGTTACAGTATGTCTACAAAGTAATATGTATAACGATGCGTAAAGTTGCTGTTATGGAGACTACTTCATCATGATAAAGATCAGAAAGAGGAAAATGTCACCAGAACAAGATCGGCAATGTTGATACGTTTAGTATCGAGAAAATGTGATCTTGATTCGATCGAGAAGTGGCAAATTGAACGTCTCGAATCACTTATCAAATTTGCGTTCAGCTTTTTGCCTCAATTTAAGCATCCGATAGGGAAACAATAGTTCAATGCCCGAGAAAACTGCAGTCAGGATTTACGTGATTTTTGAAGCTGTTACAAGGTAATCAGTTACTTGACGTTCCACGTCGTATTAAGATCTGTTAGCAACCGCATTATATGTCGACGGCTCTTACGTTTAATACGATTATTGAGTATTACTCTGAAGACTTTAGTGTTACAACGTCAGATGGAGAATGATTGCATTCGACAAATAATCCAACGTTTCTAACAAGTCTAGACACACCTAACCTTGTAACAACGATGTTGATATGACGGAGTTAGGGGGGTTGATTGTTTATGTACTACAGGCCCGGTCTGGAGGTGAGATATAGACACGTTTTAGAGGTCCTTGTATTAGTGCTGGCGTTTTCATGTCATCAGCTGATACTTAAGTATAAAGCAGAATTCACATCAGAAGTAAAAACCGATACCAAAGTTTATGACGTCAGGAAGAGCATTACGCCAAATCTGCTTGGGAAACTTAGATCCTTCTTGAACTGGTATGCAGTGCTACTTGATAAACGTACTCTGTTAATTTCTGCTATTCTGTTAGTGTAAATGTACTGTTTTACGATTACGGGATATAAACAAGCGTACCATATGTTTTCTACTTACCAACCTAGATATATCAAACTACAATTGTCAGACAGCTGTTAACATATACATCAACAAAAAACTTGTCTGAACAGTCGTCTGTGTTACTCAGGTATCGTTTGATATCATTTCCTTTGTTTACTCATGTCAGGTACAATTACAGTGTTGACAACTTAATGCAGATCAGAAACTAAGAATAAGAAGAGCAAAAGAGATGTCCGAAGATAACCTGTCATGTATCATCCCCATCTGTTCCCACTATCTGCCTGTTGTACGATTTTGAACCAGATATACTTCCTGTCTGACGATATATATTCCAGGCTTCATCAAAATGCTGAAGTGACA